CCCCCCCCCCCCCCCCCCCCCTGTGGGGGGACTCCACTACTATTAAAAATAATTTAACCCAACGTGCTGCTTTATTGATTTGCTATCGAATGTATGTGCACTTTCCTTACTTGCAATTTAAATATTGCGAAGCAAAATTATTTTATATTTAATAATCTAATTGCGCATAATCGTTGATATTATGATTTTGCTAAGTCTTCGGAGCAACGAATTGATTTCGCATTGTAGCGATTGCTCTAGAGTAAGAATAGTAAGAAGAGAGACACACAGGGGAAGGAGGAGATGGGATGATAGTGAGATTTCTTAAATATTAAGTTCACATGTAATTCTGATTGAGCAAGGGAGCGGGGTTTTGAAGGGATGCACAAACGTTTTTAAATGCTGGCCGAGCAATGCAATAAAAACTATATGAGTCGAGCGACGTCGGGCAGACTGCGTTTAAACGACGAGATACTCTCTGGTAAAGCTATGTTCACAAAGTTGCATTACACGTTTCTAGGAGAACACTATTGATTCTACTGAATCAACATATTCTTCAATTTCAGAAACATTTGTTTATTGAAGTTATATCATGTCCTCCTTGCATATATGATGACTCTCTTGATCAGAGATGTTGCTTCTTCAATAGCCTTTCTCCTTTTGTATTTTGTATTGCAAGAATCTTTCAGCTTAGCTAAACGCATTTATCTATCTATTCTACTTTATATGCACGCGGAAAAAGAGAGCGGATTTATATTTAAAAATCAATACCACTCGACACTAGATTTTCTTAACAATATTGATCTTCAATATTGAACTTCATTAGTATTATTTTTCAACAAGTATATTAATCTTAAGAACTGTCTTAATAACTATAATTATAGAAAAAAATATAAGATAATCAATCATAATTATAAAAATTGAGGAGTAAGAGATAGCACTAATTTTTTTTTAAATATTCAAATAAAATGAAAAGTTTTATATGTCGCGTACATAAATATAACATGAAAAAATTATTTAATCAAAAAATTGTTTTTTGCATATTTGCTTGCTTATTGTATATATATCGCAAATACGCTAAGAGATTAGATGTATGTTATTTCACATATTTGCTTTAATTCTAATACTATTAAAACATTTTTGTAACTCGTCATTATTAGTTTTATATTTTGTTACAGGACAGTGTTTCAAAACAATTCATTTTCCAAAGTTATAAAAAAAAGTTCATTTTTTAATTATCATGGAATTGGTGAAAATGCACTAATTTTATAATTATAATCACAATATAATCATATAATAATTATATAATTCGACGTGATGTTATAGGGTGCTTTCCAATTAACATATTTTAACATAAATGTACAGTGGATCACAGAAGGTTTTGCAACACTTTTTTTTATATATTTCGGAACTCAGCTTTGCTCATAAAATGATTGAATGTAAATATAAATGGTTAAGTAGATAAGTAAGAATCAATCATTCGCAGATGAGCAAATTGTATTTCAAAACCTATTGAAAAAAAGTATTGCAACTTTTGTCTACTGTACACAAGAATGTACAAAGTGCATGTACAAAGTACACAAGAATGTACAAAGTGCACGTAGCATTGTGCATTGCAGATTAAGTCGGAACAGAATGTGTACATTGTGCATGGTATCGAATAAGGTCCGTTTCGAATAAGATTAAAGGTACGATAACACGACGCTACAAATGCTTTGAAGCGATTTTTAATTAAACAATTGATAAAATTCTCTTCCTGATTGGCTCGTCAAACGCTTCAAAACATTTGTAGCGAGACTTTAATCACAGCCATATAGCCTTTTCCATCTATATGCATTGAATAAAAAGAAGAGCAAAAGTACCGGTCACTCAACGTCTTCAAATCTCATTTATAGCCGCCGCAATTAGTAACTGTGTAATTGTCACTAGAAAACTTATACAACCGACTAGCGGCCCTCGGCCGGCTCAGTACGATGTATAATATTGTGTCCATAATTACGATAATTTAAAGATACTAGAGAATTTGCGGGACATCGTGTTTTCGTTCATTGCCAATGCCAACGTTTCGTGAACCTTACCATTTACTTCATCAGAGCGAGGAGTACATTAATATTGAAAAGCGTTATCAATTACAATAATTGGAACGCAATTTGTGACGCTGTATATCGAGGGGCGAATCACTATCTGAAATATTGTCCCACAGATTTCACGATTTCATTTAATTTTATATAATTTTATTTGATGACAAATAATTTCTCCTCACTATATACGCGGTCATTTGGTAAGATAAACGATTTTACCTAATATTACACAATTATTTCTGGTAATTGTCGGATTATATATCGAAATTTTATATAAATTTTATAATGATTTCAGGGACTCCGTCCCACGATTACATTAAGTGATTACCCCCTCCGCTGTATATACAAAAGATCTAGTGATTTTACGATTGGAAAGCACCTATAAAAAAAAAAAAACGAAATAAAATAAAAATGTGAGAAGACCGTCTGCTTACAAATTGTCAACAGTATTACTTGCCGATCCTTTTACCGGCATATTTTTGCGCATAAAAATTATTTACGGATTGATTGCCTGCAAAGCATTATTAAACGCAAGTATAAAATTAACGGCAAATTCGGCATACACGCCCTGACTCTGCTCTGGTGCCGCCTTGACACGGTGCGAGACGAATACAGAACCAATTACACTGTTAGTGCAACATTTTTTGAACTGGTTCAGTTCATTCGGTTGATCCAAATATAAATTCAGCACTACACTGATTATGAGTCAGTTTTTATTTGTCGAATGCGATAATCTCTGAACGCATTTTGCGCACTTTGTGCATTTTGCGATAGCTCTATATAGCATTCGAATTCTGTTAATACAGCATGTTCATGCTTAATTTTCAAAATAAGGTGTTCCCTATCGATCCCAAACTTTTTATTAATATTATCGTATTCAGGAGATAAAAATTCGATTAAAAAACACTATTCCTTTTACTTACACCTTTGTTGACAAAAATTGACTTCTTTTTAACATCCTCCTTTAATTGCTGTTACTATTATTTAAAGTTTGACGAAACGTCTGTAAACGTGATATCTATATTTGAAAGAAATGTAATATTTTTGCCTACAGAGTTATCTACAAGCACTATTGCGTGTAAATATTAAGTTAAGAAATGAAGTAATGTTTTCATACAGTGCGCGTCCGCTCGACACACACACAAACCGCCTTGCACATGATATTATTGCTTACACATCGATTGCCTACAAACTTTACTGCGCACATAAAGTAAAGCCCAAACTCCGACAAGATCGCTGTTTTATCGATAAAATGTGATACATCGGCATTTTATTTTTATATACTACTATACTGACATTTTAATGTCACGCGAACACATTTACATAAATTTTTGTAGAATGACAGCATTTTAATTAGACGTCTAAAGTTTAATTCTAAGAGCTTCGTCGTAAATGATACTGTTGACAATTAATTTGTAGGCAAACGAGAGAGGAGGCTCTCCTATAAATATAATGTGATTGTGAAAATTAGTAGATTATATTGATTTAATCTTATTGACTGAATGAGCTTTCATCTAAATTTAATTCTTTTGGAATTTTTTCTTGAAGAGTAATGACGGTAAATACTTTGTTTCTTTTTAATGACTTTAGAGAACTTCAAAAAGTGTTATAATTGATATTAACAATGCGAGATCTTCTAGAGAAAATCATATTAAATTTTCAAATATTTTAATAAATTTATCTGTCGCTCGTCATATATGGTAGTATCTTGTACGCTTAGTGGAGGTTTGAATGAAGCTCAATTATTTGTCATCTCTCGTTTTGTTCGGGCAAAAACGATGAGAATAACACAATTTATATACAAAGTGTTCTATTATTGATGGTAAATATTTTAAAGGCAGATTCTTCGTAACATTTTAAGACGAAAAGTTTAAAATGTCAAAGCCATAATAGTTTTTAAATGAGAAGAGTTTAAAAATTACGAATGACGAAGCTAAAATTTCGTGTGCATAGGAATGGCAAGATTATCAAGGTGAAGGTACTTTCTCGAATTTCATGTTTCCCTTGTAGAAAGGTACTACTGAGCAGTTGGAGTATTTTGAGGCACTACTACACTACTGCGCTGGTGTAGTAGTGCTGAGTAGTGCCTCGAAATACTCCTAATGCTCAGTAGTGCTTTTCTACAAGGGAAGAAGGGAGAAAAGAAGGAGGAAGAAAGAGTGAGAGAGGCATAGTAAGAGAGAAAGGGTGAGTCAAGATAAGAATATCATAAGCAAGTAATATAATAAATTAGAAGAGAAGGAAAAAAGATAGAAACGGAGGAAGAAGGAAAAGAATAGGATGCATGCTCACGAATGTAAAAGAAATATGTTGATGGATGGCTTCTCTCTCTCTCTCTCTCTCTCGTTTTCTCTATCTCTTTTCCCTCCCTCCTTCCTTTTTATTCTTTTTTCCTTCTTCTTCCTTTTTTCCTCACTTACTCGTTACTCAGTTATAATAGAGACAAGGCAAAGAAAAATATCAAGAGGGAAAACTGTTATCCATAAGTTAAATGACTTGTGATTAGCTTTGTTTGATCAGTTGATCCGTCGCTTTTTCAGGTGATAGCTGTGATATCAATACTCTTTATTGTGCTTTCAACGATCGCACTAACTCTCAACACCATTCCTAGTATGCAAGTAAATGATGAGAAGGGAAACTTCCAAGACAATCCGCAACTCGCTATGGTGGAGGCTGTGTGCATTTCGTGGTTTACTCTTGAATACTTGCTTAGGTTCAGTGCCTCGCCAGACAAATGGAAATTTTTCAAGGGCGGTCTTAACGTGATCGATTTGCTGGCGATACTACCATACTTCGTATCTCTATTCCTGGTCGAAACCAACAAAAATGCGAACGACCAGTTCCAGGACGTGCGCAGGGTAGTACAGATCTTTCGAATAATGCGGATCCTAAGGATCTTGAAATTGGCCCGTCATTCGACCGGATTGCAGAGTCTCGGCTTCACTTTGCGTAACTCATATAAAGAGTTAGGATTACTGATGCTTTTCTTAGCAATGGGCGTTCTCATATTCTCGAGCCTCGCCTATTTCGCCGAGAAGGAGGAACCCGGGACCAAATTCATAAGCATTCCAGAGACCTTTTGGTGGGCAGGCATCACAATGACCACCGTCGGATACGGCGACATCTACCCTACGACTCCGCTCGGCAAGGTTATCGGCAGTGTGTGTTGTATATGTGGTGTTCTGGTAATCGCATTGCCCATTCCCATTATCGTCAACAATTTCGCCGAATTCTACAAGAATCAGATGAGACGGGAGAAAGCCATCAAAAGACGAGAGGCTCTTGAGAGGGCCAAACGAGAAGGCAGCATCGTGTCTTTTCATCATATCAACTTGAGAGACGCTTTCGCCAAGAGTATGGATCTCATCGATGTCATTGTCGATACTGGTAAGCGATGGATCAATGTGCTCACGAAAGATACGATCTACAACAGACATCTGTTACACATGTTCTGTTATTAATATACAGGGTGATACCAGGTGTCTTTAAAAAGACATATTCCTGACTTAATTCTGAGACGATTTTTCCTTTACAAGAATTTTGCAGATATTTTTTTATACAGATTTTTTATTTTTTTTAAAAAAGCACTTAGTTTTGTTGCAAAGGTGCTGCTAAGAAAATCTAGATTAATTTTCAAAAGTAGATTTATCATAATTGCAAATATTCTAACGGGAGTGAGGATGCTCACTATGTTCACTATGATACCGTATCGCAAACATTATTCTCAATATTAAAAAACCGGTCCTTGGAATACTTAGGCCAATCAGTGTCAGACACAATGACTTTAATTGTTCGACGGTATTAAATTGAAATTATCGAAAATACAAATATCAAATGCTAAGACTCAGCTACTGTGCACAAGTGAGACTGACTAGAACATTTTCTGCTACCATATACACTGGGCAAGAAAATTAACGCAACACCTGTTTCACTCTGCAAAAAATAGGCAAACTTCAAAATAGAATAACTTCGTCAAAAGTCATCGTATCGAGATGTTTAAAAAAGCATTTTACAGCTTGAAACCTCTACTTTTCAGATCGCTACTTGAAAATGTGGTCTCACGGAGATTTTATGAAGTTACACAAACATAAATAAAAGTGCGTCAAACCTAAAAATTTTTTACAAAATTTGAAAAGTTCTAACGCACGAAATAAAAATTATGCACAAATGTGGTTTACATCATTCGAAAGAGCGAATCTTTACCTTTAATTTGCTTTTTTACGAAGCTCCGTATGATTTTCTTTCACCGAGTTATTCTACGTTATGTGTGTGCGTGTGCGTGCGTGTGAGTGCGTTGGGTGAAATGCGTGGGTAACAACAAATAATTAAGTTCATGCGAATTTTATCTTATAATGCGCGTCTACATAAAAATAGAAGTTATGTTTTTTTTAATGCAGATTTACAATTCGTTTTTACCAAATATAATTACTAATATGTAAGTGTATTTAAAGTTTCTATAATTAGCTATAATTATAAAAACTTTGAATACACTTCAAACTTTTCCAATTATATATTGTTAATTTAAAAAAGAATAAAAACTATCACAAAATTATCAAGTCTTGGAAAACGACTCATTAATTTAAAACAAATTTAACATGTGAATTATAACAATACGTGACAGGTAATATGAGTCAACCACTGGTTATTATTAGCGAATATAATTTAATTATTAAATATAATTATTAAATATAAATAAATAAATTATATTATATTCACTAATAATATTAAGATGATAATTTAAGATGTAATTTTTAGCAAAAACGAGCTAGAGGCCCTCCACCACCCCCGCCGATTTTATCAGCGGTCCTCTTTTCTTTATATTAATATACTCATTCGCAAACAACGGGCCATTGTAAATGGAACAGCCTGTTTTTGCGAGTAAGTATTTATGTTGTTTTATTTTTTTATTTCTATTTTTATTTTTAATTATTTTATTTTATATACATATATTTTTACAATTTTTTAATACAATCTTTAATTATATAATTCAATGTACAATAATTATATTTATATTACAATAACAGTAACAATAATATACAATAGTAATAATTATTTACAATATATACAATAATATATACAATTATAAGTGCTGTTTAAAATACATTAAAAATGATACTAAAAGCATAATT